GGTACCTACAAGCGAAAGATACTTAGTCAAGTTTTTAAACGCAGATTTTAAATGTGTTTTCTTTGATTGCGAAACAAATTCTTTGGAGTAAGTTAAACATTTCTTCACTTTCAAAATGGCTTGCAAAGTCTGTGGAAAATGTCCAGAAGCTTTACTTCAACCCAAAAGAGCAGCACAAAAGGTGAATATTGTTGAAACGATAATTTTATCGAATGATAACTTCTTGCATCGTTGTTTTAGGTTGAATCTGGCGTTTTAAGTCAATTATCAGCAGGTCATAAAGGCTGTTTTCGGCAGAGATAAATTTTCATTGCTTTTTCCGAAGAGTTGCTTTGTAGATAGGAGATTTGATCAGCATTTCAAACTACATCCTAACACTATGTATCTCTTCTTAAATAGCCATTCGACTAAGTATCCTTCCTTTGTTAGTGTAAATATAAGGAACTTCCAAGAAGTACCGGAAAATCTAGTTTTGGTATCTCAAGAATTCTCCATAAGAGGAATTAACAACTTCCTCAAACCAGTAAAGCTGTCATTTATTATGAATATCATAAAGAGCTAAGCTTTTCAAGATTGCTAGAAGGATGTTTCATGTGTGTAAGGTTCCAATTTGTGTCATACCTTTCAAATTCTGAATTTTTTTTCACTATAGGCTAAGAATGCCGAAGAACTTGAATGTCAGACGTTAGTCGCATTTTTTTTCGTTTCTTGCCGTGAAAGACGTCTAATAAAAAAAATAATAATAAAATTCAACAATAATGATAACTTTGGTTATATTACAGTTTAGCTGTAAGTTAATTTGGAAGTTGAGGCGTTTTGATGTGATTCTTTACCTTTTTTTGGGAATCCGTCATAAGGTTTTAACTGCCAAAAGCGAAAGAGAGGACTCATTATCCGATCTCTTTAAATTATACTGCGATGGCGTTCTTCAAATGCTACATATCCGCAGAGAACTCGTGAACTTGCTGAAGGATACTGAAGGGTAGTAGAACATTTCTTCTAATGATGGCTTGCTATCAATTCAACGATGGGAAAACTTTAGGGAAAATAAATTCTAAGCTAAGAATAACTGCGGTTCGGATGCCAAAAACATTGGCTTTTGATTCCTTCAGTTTTACAATTAGATGCAGAGCTTCTTTTGAAAGCTGCGAGAATTACTACATCGTTTGAGCTTGGCGCCATGCGTCAAAGTTATGATTTGACGGGAAGAAGGAGATTATCTCCTGGTGTAGTTCAATTCAGAACATTTAGTGAGTACATATCTGAAGCTCACTTTAAAAGAGAATAGTCAGTTGATTGGGGCGCCATATTCTTGATGTTTTTG